AGGACAATAACATGCTCATCGCAAAAGGACCTGTAAAAGTATAATACACCAAACCATTACGTGAAATTTAGTCAAAATTATTCTATTAAACTCTTTTTTACTCTGGTGGTCGTGGCTCAATAGTGAAGGTATTGTCTTTTTTAGCAGTGAGTTAAGTTTGATTTTTGAAAGGCGTGAAATGTTGAGTAATTTTAGTAATTTTCTTTAGAGATTTTGTGCTCTATTTCAATCAAATCTTGACTCCGTTGGAGTGGTTAATGAGTTCCATTAATGTCTCGATGGTGATCCCTTCTTATGGATTGGGTCAAATCAGGTTGACAATTAGTTATCCTTAAATTTGGGCCCACAGATACTATGATAACACCTTATAGCATCATTTTTTCTTATTCAAAAAAAAAAAAAACACTCTTGTTTAGTAAAAATTATAATTTAATTTATTTTGTTTCATAAACTCTCTAAAGAGGAGGCGCATAATAGAGTAAGGATAAATTAAAATTTCATTTTTTTTTCATGGACAATATTGCCCATGCATATATGTGTGTGTGTGTTACAGAATTATTTTGAAGAGAAATATTTTATTTTATTTTATACAAATTTAAAAATATTGCATATGCATATTTTTAGTTGGTTCATCTAGTATGTATTTTGGATATGTTTGATTTAGTTTTGGGAGAGTTTTTAAAAATTGTTTTGGGGAGAGAGTTTAGAAATTTTTTTGGTTTGTTTGATTGTGTATTTTGAAAGTAATTTTGAAGTTTGGAAGTTTGGAATAATTTGATAGTTTGTTATAATTGAGTAGATGAATGTGAGAGAAAAAATGAATGATTGATAGGTAAGAGAGAGAAAGTAATTTTAGAAATTGTTTTGAAAAATTTACAAACCAAACAAATTTTTTAAAAATTTTTTTCCAAAATCACTCTACAAATCCAAACAAAACATACCCTTTTATTTTTTGTAATATTAAAATGTTACTGTAAATCAGAATAATATGTTACTGTGTATTTTTTAAGAATTTTATAATTAATATAGATATTTTTTGATAGATCTTAATAAGAGAATTATAAAAATATGAATTTTATTAAAAATCAACATTAAAATCAAAAGTTATATTATTTTAAAGTTTAAAATATTAAATTTCTCACTATGTATATTTTGATAATAGTAATATGTGTTGAACATTTTAAGAAATTTTGTTATACTTATCTATAATACATTAAAATTTTATTATAAGAGAGTTTTGATCAAATCCTCAATAATTATTTATTTTATCCCCTTTTTCAAGAACAACGCCAAACAGGACCTATGACAGGTACGATTCAACTGGACCTTCGGCCTAATCTATGACCAATCCAAAAATAGAACTCAGCCCACGAAGTGATGTTTAACTTGAAAAATGACGAATGAACTTTTTACATTCTAGAGCATCTTCAATGAAATTGTTAAAATTATAATTTGACAAGAGTAATAAAAAAATGTTCTTTAATAGCCTATTATTTTTCTTGTCAGAGATAATAGATGCCATTTATGTTATCAAATTTGACAGGTTGAATAACAAGTACTAAACATGTCATATCAGCAAATATCAACATATTTTTTGCTCTAAATTCAATTGGAAAAATAGAATTCATACAGTAGAAAACCTCCCAAATTTCATAATCAAACCCAAATTTCCGAATCAAATCTAAATTTTAAAGGAGTTGTGAAATTCACAAATTTCAGAAATAGCAGAAAAAATTTAGAACAAATCACACAAATTTCAGAATTGATTCAAAACCAATCAAACCAAAAAAGTTAGTGAAGAATCAATTTCAGAATTTCACAATCATACAAATTTTAGAATCACACAAACAAATCACACAAATTTCAATTTCATAATCAATTTCAGAATCACACAAATTTCAGACTAAATTTCACAAATTTATATAAATTTCAGAAACGACTTTAGATGATAAATTCTTAGATCGACTTGTAGGGCTTCTTCTTCATCGACTTGTAAGGCTCATTCTCAGACCAATCGAGCTTCATCGAAGTCCAAATAGTAGTGTTCAGCGAAACACTAGAGTTCCATTGAGAGAGAGAGAGAGAGAGAGAGAGAGAGATGCGCTTGAGATCAAAGAGAGAGAGAGAGAGAAAGAGAGAACACACCATTTCAGCCAACTGGTTTGAGGACAGAGAGAGAGAGAGAATGCTGGTTTTGGAGATCAGAGATTGGTGATCAGTTTGATGATAAAGAAAGAGAGAGAGAGAGAGATGCTCTTGAGATCAAAGACAACGAGAGAGAGAGAGAGAGAGAGAGAGACCACCATTTTAGCTGATTGGTTTGAGGACAGAGAGAGAGAGAGAAAAAGAGTATACTGGTTTTAGAGATTGGAGAAAATTGTACGGCGATCGGTGATCAGTTTAAGGAGAGAGAGAGAGAGACTCTTAAGCTCAAAGACAGAGACAGAGAGAGGGAAAAGACACCATCTCTTAGCCGATTGGTTTAAGGAGCATGAGCGAGAGAGAGAGAGAGAGAGAGAGAAGGGGCTTCTGTCTTGAACATTATGAATGATCATTCAAGAGGATGATCTTAGGTGTTGGATTGTTATGTAATCAACGACTGAGATCTTATTCACTAATCAACCCCCAAGATCAGTCCGAGTGTGCTATTTTGTTCATTAAAAATAATAATAAATAAATAAAAACACAAGTGAAACAGAACCCCAACGGCTATAAATAAACGGTCAAATTTTTTAAAATTCTCAACGGCTACATTTGGAAAGAAAAAAGTCATATTTTATAATTCTAGAGAGAGAGAGAGAGATGCTCTTGAGATCAAAGACAACGAGAGAGAGAGAGAGAGAGAGAGAGACCACCATTTTAGCTGATTGGTTTGAGGACAGAGAGAGAGAGAGAAAAAGAGTATACTGGTTTTAAAGATTGGAGAAAATTGTACGGCGATCGGTGATCAGTTTAAGGAGGGAGAGAGAGAGAGAGACTCTTAAGCTCAAAGACAGAGACAGAGAGAGGGAAAAGACACCATCTCTCAGCCGACTGGTTTAAGGAGCATGAGCGAGAGAGAGAGACAGAGAGAAGGGGCTTCTGTCTTGAACATTATGAATGATCATTCAAGAGGATGATCTTAGCTGTTGGATTGTTATGTAATCAACAGCTGAGATCTTATTCAGTAATCAACCCCCAAGATCAGTCCAAGTGTGCTATTTTGTTCATTAAAAAAAATAATAAATAAATAAAAACACAAGTGAAACAGAACCCCAACGGTTATAAATAAACAGTCAAATTTTTTAAAATTCTCAACGGCTACATTTGGAAAGAAAAAAGTCATATTTTATAATTCTATAAATAGAAATCCTTTCTCTCAATTTCATTTCATAACAAACCTCCCAAATTATATTTTTATTCATAGTTTTTTTTTTTTCTTCACATAATCACTATGGAAGGTTCATAAAAAACAAAGAGAGAAAAATCATTTACCACTGATGAAGATGTGGCACTTTGTAAAGTTTGGTGTCACATTTCTAAAGATCTAATTGTTGACATTTCACAATCTTATGCCACTACAGGAAATTACACTTTTGGCAAACAAATTTTTAGTCGCCGCCGGATGTTTTTTAGTTGCCGAAAGTCAATGGCTACTAAATTGAAGTTCGTCGCTAATTATCGTATCTTCGGCTACTAAAACGGACTTAACCGCCAAACATAACGTTTTAGCGACCAAATGGTTAATCACCGAAAGTAATTAAATCAAAATGAAATTCTCTTTCAGCGACTAAAATATTTAGTCACTACGACATTTTACTCGCTAATACTAATACATTTACCGATTAAAATTTTTAATCACTAATAGTAATAAATTTAGCGACCAAATAGTTTAGTCGTTATTAGTTTTCACAACTAAACATTTCAGTTGCCAAAAGATTAGATATTTTCATTTCATGGTATTTTACCGAAGGATGCCATGTTCTTTCGTGACTAAAATATTTAGTCGGCAAAAGTTTCTTCCCTCGTCTTGATTTATTTTGGCTACTAATTATTTGGTTGTCAAAAGTCTTTTGTTTCTTTTTTACTACTAAATAGTTAGTCATAAAAAACATTTCCTTGCATTTTTTACTACCAAAATATTTAGTAGTCATAAATTTTATAATTTTTTTTATAATTAATTTCTCGATCACCTATATTTATTCCATTATTAGTACAATCTCTACCCTGTATATAAATAAAATAATCCATATACTGATAAAATTAGTAACTATACCACAACATGCAAACATTTCACTGTCAACCATAAAAAAATTCATATTTAACATCAAATTAATATTTCCAATAGAAATTCTATACAAACGAAGTATAATCCAATCTAAAAAATACAGGCAAGTCCAATGATGCACGAGCTATAGACTTGTCTTCTTCAGGTATTTCAATGTCACTCTGTTTCTAAAATGTAAACAAATTATAAGGAAAAAGAAATAGACTCATTGAAATGCTATGAACAAAGGAAATGACATATGCAAGTGATCTTTAAAAAGTGGTTCAAAACAGATCTCTTTGAAAGGGAGTTCATGACAAATTACTCACAATTTTTCTCTTACGTGTACAACAACGGTCCCATCCAATGCTGGTCAAAACCTTGAAGATCTCATTCATGTCAAATTTAGCCCAACCAATGTAAATCCGAAAAACTTGATCAGGAAGAGTAGATTCTCCACTATCTGGATTTTCAAAGTTATTTTTCAATAACTTGTTGCCGAGTATTTTCGTGCATCAAGAACTACTCCCAAATGCTAATGCAATGTAATGAACATACTTGTGAGACTGAACAAATAGATAGTAAATACAATCAAAACACATATATCACATTGTTATTACAAACATCAAGCTCCAATTGTGGCAAACCGTGTAACATCTGATCTGATGTTGGTGAGATGGCATGTAATGTTCACATTGGATAGAACCTGATGACCCAAATGCTTACAACCTCAAGTATAATGCACATTGCAAAATTGAAAAATTACTTTAAAAAAAATTTATTAGCAAAACCTGCAGATTGAAGCAGATGTCCATTGCTATACTAAACCTTTGAATAAAGAGGTTCAATGGGCAATGCATTATCCACCCCTAAAATCATTAAATTAGATGGCATCAAATCAGATAATGTGGGGTCAAGATCAAGAAGGTAAATAAATTCGAAAGATATATATACAGTCTTCAAATGGTGGAAGACCCCATAGCTCGGGCCTGAATTCTAGAAGTGAATGAAGCACATAATCTGCAATGTAATACTGATTGGCTGCATTTTGAAGTGAGGGAACAACCACTACCTTTATTCCAGCGGCCTTTGCTGCTTTAACACCAACCCTATTGATAATACAAGTTACTAAATAAAAAAGTTATATGTTTCCAAGTGGTATAGTATACTAGATGGTAGCTGCAAAATGGACATATTCACCGTGGGAGTCATAGTGCTTAATAACTACAATCTAAATGGTTTATCTATCAGAAAAAGGAATCATAATCCCGAAAACTATAAGGATACATCCACAAACCATATGGTCCATATCATATTTTTTTAATCAAATTTTATAAAAATGGAAGCTGAGAACCCTACAACAATGAAGAGTTCATGGAAAATTATTCAAGTTCCTATGGATTTCTAGGAGTGCGAGTAATTTAAAGCACTGCAACAACCAAAAATACCATGTTGATATTGTCAGCATACAAATCAATTATGACAAGATTCACTGAGATTTATAATAATTTCCAAAATAACCCTTGCTTTCATTAAAGAACCAAACTTCTAGTAAAAAGAGCTCAAAGAAAATAGAAGAATGAAAAGAAAGATAAAATGCAATGGCTCCATAACAAGAATTCAGAGAAAGTTTCAAGAATAAAATCATGGTTCCTAGGCAAAAATAAAATCAAATTATAGAATACATGGCAAAACTCTGCAGTTAGCAATACACCAACCATTGCAAACTCCATACACAAGTATCAATCTAATTATTGGTCTGATGCAAAACAATTAAAAAAATCAAACAAAACAATCACGAAGCCCCTGTTTTCACAATCTTTTCAAAAATTAAATTGCATTATCATTCACAATTAGCAAAAATAGATGCAGTCAACCTTGAATCTTTAATCGAAACATAAATGTCGTAATATTCTAACCAATATCGCAATGAGTCATAATTAACACACCACAACAAGTCATAACAAATATCACAATAGTTCAAAGTGAGTGTCTGAACTTATTGAACTACAATGTGCCTCGTGCATTTAAATGCTGTCGTTGATCTGATTGCTCAAGGAAAATACTGAACTAGCATCCTCATATTTTGGCAAGTACAGCCCATTAAATGCCTAAGTAATGGGTATCTCATATCCTAATCCATGACCACAAATGCAAAGTCCCTAAAGATTCATCAACACATACCCTACTAACACATACAAATTATGCGATGTATGACTATTCTGTGTGTAATTATGTCAAGGGAAATCCAGAGAAACAACAAACTATGTGTGAGTGTGAGGTTAAACAAATCAAAGACTGACAAAACCAACAAGAATTTGACGAGATTTACACCAAAAGTGAAAAAAAAAATTAGTGAAATGGTTTTGTATATGTGTGTGTCTCTATATGAATGGATGCAATGAAGAACAGAGTCAACAAAACAAAACCCACCTGGGAAAGAATCAAAGAATTGAAACAACAAAATTAGAAACCTACCAGAAAATGATCATCGGATTCCGAAATTTTCAAAGAGAACTCATTGGAAAAGACTGAAAAGTTTGAAAATCACACCATGATTTGAGCTCCAAACACTCGATCGCTCAAATTGACAGCCCAAATTGTGAGAAATTAAGTGACTCAGAGAGCAGGAACAAGCACGGCTAGAAGCGTCGTTCCAACTGTTCAAGGGTGTACAAGCGGTGAAATCCAAAGAGTAGTCCAAGCACCACTGGAGCAAGTTGGGTCGATTTGGGGCTGAGTGTGAAGGTATATGCGAATGGGAGAAGACATTGAGAGGGAGAGGGAGAGAGAGAGACGGCGAAATAGAAGACATACCTACCCGATACAAAGCGATGGTGGTGCTAACCCTTGCGGTGGTGCTCATGTAACCCTTGTGGTGGTGCTCCAATATCAGAGAGGAGTGCAGAGGCGTGAGGCGTGAGGTGCGAGGCGTGAGAGAGAAAAGACACCCGATCAAGTTTGGCTATCCTAAATAAGTACATACTTTTTATTTTTTATTTTTTATTTATCACCCCATCTTTTTAATTTTTTGTACATTTTTTCGTAAAAAGACAAAAAATGTACTTATTTAGGTCATCCTAAACAATCTCTAAGTATATTTTGTATCTTAATTTTCAAATTAGGCCTAGTTTAGGCGGAATTTTTAAATTAGGCTAAAATACTATTACAAATTGCACTTTCACTGTTTAAAGTCCAAAATGTGATAAATAGTGAAAGCGCTATTACAAACCACGCTTTTAATTAAGAAAGTGTGGTTACAAATTACGCTTTTAACATAAAAAATTTTTCTGAAGAAACCACGCTTTCTTCAGAAAACGAATTAAACGAGATGCACAGTGAAAGTTGTGCATATAATTTTTTTTTTTCTAAAAAAAACGTGGTTGTGAACCACGCTTTCACTGTTAAGCTAAAGAAGCGTGGATTGTAACCACGCTTTCACTGTTCACTACAGTAAGCGTGGATTGAAACAACGCTTTCACTGTTCATTTATTTATTTATTTATTTTAATATTTTGTTTTTTTTCCTGTTCTCATTGTTTTGGTGATAAACAATATTCATAAAAAAAATTTGGCTTTACTAAAGTCGTTCTCATGTTAATTTTTTTTTTCTTTTGTCTTTGTTTTGGTTTTGAAGGTGTAATTCAGAAATTTTACATAATATGGGAAAAACCTCTTCTTTTCATATATTAATTTGTGTTACATAGTATGAGAAAAGCCTCTTCTTTATATATATTAATTTTACATAATATTTTTAACTAATTACCAAGCATTTGGGAATTAAGCCAATTTATATATCATTTAAATTTTGGGAAAATTGGCCTAAGGTCCCTCTCCCACTTTTCGTAATGGAAGAGATCCACAAAATTATTTTTTGATGTCTAAGGTCCCTAAACATATATCAGAGAAATTTGACCTTACCAAATCAAAACTCATCTCTCTCTCTCTCTCTCTAAACTTCTCCATTCTCAGGAGTTTGAGGCAGTCCCCTGCATCTGCCGCCTCATTCTTGCCGTCTACGAGGACGACCTCCGCTACCCCTACGACATCTACGCTCCCTTGTGCCTACCATCATCTTCAAACGCTCTCCCGGTATAACTCTGTTGATCGAGATTGCTTTCTGTACAAGCAGCGGCAACTTGGATAATATATTTGTGTTGGTCTATCCATGCCCTTCTCAGAGTAGCAGTGAAACTCTAAGGATAGGAGGATAGCTTGATTCTATAAAATTAAGATTCTCATGTGTTGCATGGATTGGCTGACAAGAATGCTGTGAAAATTTAATGTTCGATAAGTTTCCTGTTTCAAGAGTCTGGAGTTATCCATCCTTGAGTTGCGGCTGTTTGAAGTGTAGTGGATGATTATAGCCACCCCGAAGGGCTTTGAACTAGAAATATATGTATTTATCTGTCTTTTGGTTTTGTTGTGTGAAAACCTCCTTGCATGCTTCTGAGATTGCGACTAACTAGTGTCTTTGGATTGTTGAACTTCAATACAGTGGCTATATCGGCTAGGTACTGCATTAAAAAATTATTCAAAGGTTGGAGTGGTGAGCGATATCCCCAGAGAAATTCTCTGGGTTTGAACTAAAATTTCTCTGGATTGATCCAGAGAAATTTCAAAATTTCTCTGGAGAGGTAATGTTGATATAGCTAGTTATCATGCATGTTCATGAAACTTCCAAATCCTCTTGTAAATTTGCAGTTCTTATGTTGATTGATATGCTATACCTACTATTCCTCCTCTGTTATAAATCCTTGAATTTTACAAAAGTGTTTTTTAAAAGTACACACACAAACTGGTTTTTATATACACGTCCAACCCAGAGAAAATTCAAATTTCTCTAGGTTCAACCTGAAGAAAATTCAATCCAATAACTCAGAGAAAATTCAGTCCAACCAAACCAAAGAATTTTGTAACTTGTTACTGAGAGTAGGCGGGCGAAAGCTCATGTGCAAAACCAACTTGAGCAGTCCGATGCTGAAAGGAAACGGGCATCTGTTCATGATAGAATGAGGGTACCTGTTACTTACGACGATCTGATTGGAGAGGAGGATCCAAAAGACAAATCAACCTGATCTGGGAAGAACTGCATGTTTCTGTGATTTGAACAGTTTTGTGAATTTTTGGTTCTCCAATTTAAATTCCTTTCCAGCATTCTCTTTCTCAGCTACCAAGGTAATAGAAGACATATTTTGCCTATTCTCCAAGAAAGGAGGTGTTTGTGTTTGAAACTTTGGATTAGTGCTTTGCTTCTAACTGTCAAAATTGAATTGCTTATACATACTCTCTCTCTCTCTCTCTCTCTCTCTCTGATTGTTGGGTTTGATTACTTAGTTGGATGAGTTTTGAATAATCTGGGAAGTTATTGGCCGACCCATTTCTTTAGCCATCTAATCCTTCTTATTCATGTTACCCATTCCGCTTTTTTCTTTTTCTTTTTTCCAATTTTACAATGCATAATGAGTGCTTGATTAGTTTCCTGCAAATTATATATACACACTCAATGATTTTATATATATTATGTATATTTTCATAGATTTCACACTCATATATACCTGTACCCATGTGTGTATGTTTAATTTCATTCGTTCAATGGTTGTGCTTTCTGTCCTCCATCAACCACTCCTTCACCGTCTCTTCCCCTAACGAGTGCAACCTCTTATTTTCCAACTTTCTCTGGATTTCATTTGGGAATTAAGCCAATTTATATATCATTTAAATTTTGGGAAAATTGGCCTAAGGTCCCTCTCCCACTTTTCGTAATGGAAGAGATCCACAAAATTATTTTTTGATGTCTGAGGTCCCTAAACATATATCAGAGAAATTTGACCTTACCAAATCAAAACTCATCTCTCTCTCTCTCTAAACTTCTCCATTCTCAGGAGTTCGAGGCAGTCCCTTGCATTCGCCGCCTCATTCTCGCCGTCTACGAGGACGACCTCCGCTACCCCTACGACATCTACGCTCCCTTGTGCCTACCATCATCTTCAAACGCTCTCCCGGTATAACTCCGTTGATCGAGATTGCTTTCTGTACAAGCAGCGGCAACCTGGATAATATATTTGTGTTGGTCCATCCATGCCCTTCTCAGAGTAGCAGTGAAACTCTAAGGATAGGAGGATAACTTGATTCTATAAAATTCAGATTCTCATGTGTTGCATGGATTGGCTGACAAGAATGCTGTGAAAATTTAATGTTCGATAAGTTTCCTGTTTCAAGAGTCTGGAGTTATCCATCCTTGAGTTGCGGCTGTTTGAAGTGTAGTGGATGATTATAGCCACCCCGAAGGGCTTTGAACTAGAAATATATGTATTTATCTGTCTTTTGGTTTTGTTGTGTGAAAACCTCCTTGCATGCTTCTGAGATTGCGACTAACTAGTGTCTCTGGATTGGTGAACTTCAATACAGTGGCTATGTCGGCTAGGTACTGCATTAAAAAATTATTCAAAGGTTGGAGTGGTGAGCGGTATCCCTAGAGAAATTCTCTGGGTTTGAACTAAAATTTCTCTAGATTGATCCAGAGAAATTTCAAAATTTCTCTGGAGAGGTAATGTTGATATAGCTAGTTATCATGCATGTTCATGAAACTTCCAAATCCTCTTGTAAATTTGCAGTTCTTATGTTGATTGATATGCTATACTTACTATTCCTCCTCTATTATAAATCCTTGAATTTTACAAAATTGTTTTTGGAATTTTGTTGAGTTTTTCAAATCTTGCTTAGTATTTCATATATTAATGCCTTACTATTTGTTGAAACATTTTGTCAAACCTCTCCATTAAAACTATGATTGAATCACAATATACAGAGTTCCATTGCTGTTGCACATATTAGAGCAATCTGCATTTAAGATTGCATTTTCTGCAACCTACACTTGCTTCCACGAGATTCGTCTTCAATTTATGTCCAAAGAAATTTGGTGGATGAATCTGCAAACATCAATTTCAGTTCTAGAGAAATTCAGAATTTCTCTGGAGATAAATTTGGAAGTCAGAGAAATTTGGACTAATTTTCTCTGGACCAATTTTATCTGGACTAATTTTCTCTGGATCAACTTGAGGGACCTTAGACATTATGAAAATATTTGGTGTCCTTTATGCTATAAAATGTTAATACCAGGGACTTTAAAAAAAAACCCCCCTTAAATTTTTATGGGAAAAGCCTCTTTTCATATATTAATTTTACATAATATTTTTCATATATATAATTTTAAAATCATGTTCATTTAGATATTATTAAGCCAATCATGTTCATTTACAAAATTCATGCTTTCATTGTTCACTACAGTAAGCATGGATTGAAACCAAGCTTTCACTATTCATTTAAATTTTATTTTATTTTTTAAAAATTTATTTTTTCTGTTGTCATTGTTTTGGTGATAATGTAATTCATAAATTTTTTTTGGCTTTACTAAAGCCGTTCTCATGTTATTTTTTTTTTCTTTTGTCTTTGTTTTGGGTTAGAAGGTTATAATGTAATTAATAATTTTTTTTTGACTTTACTAAAGCTGTTTTCATGTAAAAAAAAATTTTTCTTTTGTCGTTGTTTTGGGTTAGAAGGTGTTATTCAGAAAATTATTTTGGCTTTACTAAAACCGCTTTCATTTAAATATATACATTTATTCTTTTGTCTTTGTTTTGGGTTAGAAGGTGAGAATGTAATTCAGAAAACCAGTTTAGTAAAACCGTTTTGTACCCGTTTTCATTAAAAAATAAATATTCTTTCGTCTTTGTTTTGGGTTAGAAGGTGATATGCATGCTCTACAGTCCGAAGCACACCCACAAACTGTGTAGTTCGACGAGCAACGTCGAAGGGTGAGACACGAAGAGCACCGCAGAGTAGGCCAAGAAGACGAAGGCCACCGCGAGAGCTCCTAAAATAAATTTTGTCAACATTTTTGTAATAAAACTTAATACATAATATATGAAGTCACTAATTTACTAAATACTCATACA